CCACTTTCTGCTCATGATTTGTGATAATATCACTGTCTTCTACACCAACCAGTCGTCCCACACAGCTCTCATCTTCAGCCATTATTCATCGAAGTATATTCGCTATATTATATTGAAGCGGATTGATCTATTTATAGCAACTGGTAAAATGTATCACAACAAGAGGAGGTCAGACGAATCCCACAACACGGGGGATACATTATTGTTTTTTATTGGCGATCCTCCCTGCTAGAATTGCTCTAAGAATCATTTTGGGCGATCCGCTCTGCTAGGATTTCCTTGAAAAACACTCGTGTGTGTTTTGTGTTAGTAATCCGCTTCGCTAGGATTGCCCCCTTAATCAATTTGTGTGTATGTGTGTGTGTTTGATTATCAGTGTGTTATATTTTCTGTGATTGGCAGGTCAGAGTTAGCAGGTAACTGATTCTTAAATCGCTTTGCATTGTACTCAGCTTGCGTGTGGACACAAAGCTACTATTTGTTTTTTTGATATCTTTTTTTATTGCCAAGAAATTTGATCTCAAAATTAGGTAACTTTTTACGAATATTTTGTGAAAATTTTGGCTGGGTCGATTTCGTTCATATTTGGTAGGCAGGTCATACCTTCAGTCTAAATGGGTGGTAAAATCTGAAAGAATTCCAAGCATATTATTGTCATGACAACAGCTAAAACAATGATTTTTAAATACTTCCGCGCCAAATTCATCACCTCCAACCAGTGTTGTAATGGCAGTGTTCAAATGATCATGCTTTCTATTTTGGCTATGTTGCCACCAACGAGGGGGCACCAGCACTGACATTGTTACACTGTATCAACGCAACTTTGTAATTTGAATAAACTGTAAATGTTGCGTTCAATCAAAGAGTCTAGAAAATACAATCGAAAAATGCTCCGAAATACAAAGTTTGACATCTTCTCGAAATCGAGGCTGAAGGTTCAACTGGCGTGAATATACTAACGATAACAGCAAAATACGCATTAGTAACAACTTCGGCGTTTTGTGAACTTTGCATACGGGCCCCAGTTTTAGTACTAAACCAACGTTAGCTTCATGTTCATGTCCTACTATGGCATCTGTAAATTAGTAAATTCACTCCTGATGACTGTTATGGTACTATATCTAGTATCACTGTAATAGTACTATATCTAGTATCACTGTAATGGTACTATGTCATGTATCACTGTAATGGTACTATATCTAGTATCACTGTAATGGTACTATATCTAGTATCACTGTAATGGTACTATGTCTAGTATCACTGTAATAGTACTGTGTCTAGTATCACTGTAATCATTATGGTATTATGTCTAGTATCACTGTAATGGTACTATATCTAGTATCACTGTAATGGTACTATATCTAGTATCACTGTAATGGTACTGTGTCCAGTATAACTGTAATCCTTATGGTATTATGTCTAGTATCCCTGTAATGGTACTATATAGGGCGGCTACAGGATCATAATCAGGAGGGCTTATGATATTCGTCGGGGGAAATACTGTCTAGGTATTGGAAGTCATATTTGTAATGATGTTGCCTAAGCATTAGAGACAATATTTGCCATGATGTTGCCTAGGTATTTGCATCTTAATGTTCTTTTGGTCGGCGTCACAGATTTATTCCCAGTCCTTTTTCCTGATCATAATTTGGGACGTAGCTACACGTAAAACTATTATCTCCTTTTGTAATTATCAGATTGTATGGAAGTTAGAATCTAGCTAAACGTGATAACATCGGGATCAAATAAGTATGAAACAGTAATTTGATAAGGATATGATACTTAATGCAACAAGAAGTTCTAATTGCTCTTGCGAAATAGTTTTTATTGCATTTATTAGACCTCGGAAAAATCAAATCTCTATATGTATATGTTTTTTTTTCAATATCTTTGACCCTTTCAATATGTTTGTGGCTATACCTTGCTTTGAATGTTGACTGTACCAGTGTGCTTGTGGGTTTAAGTTGGGTTTTGTCATTCAAATCAGGAATGTTGAATTTCTGTCCGTGTGTATTTATATACGTAGACGCTATTTTCTTTGCTTTAATCAAATTCACTTATAAATGTAGGTATACAGGTTTGCATGTTTTAGTGGATATGGAGCCGATCTTATTGCCCCAGGGCATAGCATATTTGCCACAGATCACAACACTCATTTTCAACTTAGATAGAGGAGTCAAGTCTTACACATACCCACCCTACACCCTACTCCGCTCACAATCTTATATAAATTAAATGACTGTTTATAAAGCAACTTTTGATGTTTCGTGTTTCTAAACGATAACAATTTAAATTTGAGCTTCATACTCACTAACATGAGTGAATTTACTGATCTTGGTAATGTAAATATTAAGAATTATATGAGAATGTCAATGTCAATGTACATGCTTAGAGATTTTGAACATAATATAAGTGTGGCTGATTGACTGAAAAAGCCATTAGGCTGATAGCTGGTCTGCTCAACCCAAACAAAGAAACCACATGTTTTCGGCTGTTGCCATGGTAGGACATGAACATGAAGCTAACGTCGTTTTATAACTAAAACTGGAACCCGTATACGATGTTCACAAAACGCATTCAGTCTTCCAAAGTCACTTCAATTTATTACTGACACTATTATAGGTATTATATTCAGGCAAGTTGACCCTTCAACTTAGATTTCGAGAAGATATCAAACTTGGTATTTCGGAGCATTTTGCGATTCTATTTTCTAGATTCTTTGATTGAACGCAACATTATCAGCGCCGGTGGTCCTTCGTCAGTGGCAACATAGCCAAAATATAAAGCATGATCATTTGAACAATGCTATTCCAGGTGTTAAATTTGGCGCGGAAGTATTTAAAATTCTTTGTTTTAGCTGTTGCCATGGCTACAATAGGCCTGGAATTCTTTCAGATTTTACCACCAAACTAGAGTGAAGGTATGACCTGCCTACCAAATATGAACGAAATCGGCCCCGCACAAATATTACAGAAAAGTTAAAATCCCATTCGTCGTGAAAAGTTACCCCAACTTTGAAATAAAATTTCTCGGTAATAAAAAAATATCGAATCAAAAAAAAAAAAATAGTAACTTTGTACTCACACTCAAGTTGAGGTGAATGAGAATGTCCGAGATTTTTAATCCTAGATTTGCAGGAGGAGATACATTTGGCGCGAAGCTATTTATTTTTTTGCCTGTTACTATGGCAACGGTGGGCCAGATTTTATCTACTAACTATGACCTGCCAAGTTTGAGCAAAATTAGCCAAGCTAAAAAATTAAATTTGATATAAAACGTGAAGACAATGGAAATCACACACGCAAATGTTTTTTAGGGGCAATCCTTGGGAGCGGATCGCCAACACAAAACACACACAAGTAATTTTAAGGAAATCCTAGTCAGAGCGGGTCGCCAAAAATGATTTTTAGAGCAATAGTAGCGGGGAGGATCACTAATAAAAACAATAATTTATTCCTTATATTATTTTGAAATATAAAAATAGAGTCATCATTCATCTTGGGCAGTATATAATAATAGTACTGCGTTTGTTTTAGTTATTCATGCTCAATGTCCCAGAAAACAGGAAATAACCACATGTGAAAACACGTTGGTGTTCAAAGAATGAAAACAAATCGTTTGTCTCGAGTTTTTTCATTTTATGTATTAAATTGTACACGTGACCTTCAAATCGGAACGTCAATCTTTATTGTTATAATGGTTTATTTTCGTATTTTCAAAATAATTCCGGGTAGGTAATCTGAATCCGGGCTTGGCTACCATGTTTAGTTTCCCCCGTGTTATGCGATTTAGTTTGACCTCCCCTTGTTGTGTTACATTTTATCAGTTGCTATAAATAGATCAATCCGCTTCAATATGATATAGCGAATATACATCGGTGAATAAATGGCGGAAGATGAGAGCTGTGTGGGACAACTGGTTGGCGTAGAAGACAGTGATATTATCACAAATGATAAGAATCAATTAGGACAATATCAAGTATATAAGCAGAGATGGTTCGTTGCTTTTCTCGTGGTTTTGCTGAATCTGTCAAACCAATTGGTATGTAATTAACGGGAAATAAATAATAATAACAATAGTTTAAATTTGACTATATACAATGTGATGAGATTTCGCGTAAATGAATGTTAATTGCAATTTTTTGGACGTGGCCATTTTGCTTTAATGGCTTATTTTATTCATGGTAGGCTTGTAATGTGTTATTAGAAAGCCGTGTTTCTCCTTCACAATAAATATGCAATATTGGACTGACTGATAGAGATAATTAATAAAACATTATTACAACAGGGGTCATATAAGTAGAAGAGAAATATAACACCGAATAATTAAATATGTCATGTATTCATGTATTTATTAATAGTTCTAATGTGATGTTTGTATCAATTATAATTCACATACATACAGTTGTAACAATTTGTCTTTGTTTATAGACAATTCAATCTTTCAGTCCTGCAGCAAGTGTTGTCGCCGAATATTACAATACTTCTGATGAAAACGTGAATCTATTGTACATGTCATATGTATTTGTTTCAATTCCAATGGGGTTTGTATCTATGTGGCTTCTGGACTCCATTGGATTAAGACTTTCGGTATGACCTAATTAATATAAGTTGATTTTTAGTGTATTGTATTGTAGTGTATTGTAGTGTATTGCCGCAGTGAAGTGCAGTGTAGTGTAGTGTAGTGCAGTGTAGTGTAGTGTGAGTGTTTATATTGTGTAAACATATGGTAAACATATGTTACTCATACATTTAAATGGAATGGACAAAAGTGACATTACCTGGACTTCAAAACGTTATTTTCTAATTGATACTATAAATTCACATTCAAAATGTATTGACCTAGGAACAATTCATCAGTTTTTATTAAATTATTTATAAAACCATGTGAATTATGTTTAATAAATGAATAAATAAATAAATGGATAAATGG